GCAAGGTTCGGCGGCCACACCCTCCTCCGCGAGTGTTCTGGAAATAACGTCGAGCGAGCAGCATGCACGCGATGTCCTGCAGGGGCAGGGCGGCGCGCGCCTCGCTCGAAGACCCCGCGCGCACGAAGGCCCCAAGCATCCCCAAGAAGCGCCCGAGATTCCCGCTGGAAAGCCCTGCGAACCAAGACGCGTCCACGAACATGCCCAACGCGAAACCCAGAAGTGGCCTCAGGAGGCCTGCGAGGGAAAGCCGACGCGATTGTCAACGATATCCCATCAACTGCCTACGGGGTCTCTTACCCACAACCCAGGACGGCGGTGGCGACAGAACGCCACGGGACGTCTCCTGCCCCCCCCCCCCCCCTCCTGTCCTCATCCACTCCTCCTCCCACCCAGGTTTCCAAATCATGAACGGTCGACCTCCGCCTCCTCCAACTGTTGGTAGTTATGTCCCCCCGCGTCCAATCGTGGCCGATGTCTGTGCAGACTCGCTCTCCCAGGGAGGTCTAAATCGGGATCGAAGTCGTCGTCGACTGCACGTTTGTGTCTCAGCAACTCGACAAACTTGTTTGCCGCCGCCGTCACGTGGTGGGCTCCCCGCAGCAACGACGCGAAGTCCATGCACCGAATCAAGAACAACGGGTCTTCGACATGCAGCCTGTTCGGATGGATGGTTTCTCCCCTTGCAGCAACGTCGGTGGCGTCGAAGCCGTCTCCACCGTCGGCAACCTTACGAAAAAAAAGCAGACACATGGTTAGGTTGAGGCACCTGGCGCGAACTGACAGGAAACATGCTGTCTGGATTGCGTTCACTAAGATGCACCCAGAAAGCAACTTGCGAGACTGTGTTCACAATCGCCAATCCCACAACCACAGGCACAACACAGTATTCAGTGATGGCAAGTGACGAATCCAAAAACCTCTGGAGACCAACGCAATCATGGCATATCCCTTGAAGCCCGCTCAAAATATTGTCGAAACAATCTAAATCGATGTCCAGATGATCGATTGCCCCAGCCGACTGGACGCGGTAAACCGCGAGGCCTCGTATTACCCCACGGCGTCTGGAACATCCCCATTGCATGCAAGACTCGGGCGGTTCGAAAGACAACGATGCTCGGGCCAAGGACCAACGCATCTCCGCAACACCTAGCAGGACTTGACCAGAAACCTGTGGGACGCGAACACGACTGCGTTGTAAGAACTCGCACAAGAGCCCGTGGTGCTTCTGCGGAACTTGCAGGGAAGGGTCGCCCACGATTGCTGCCACAAATGGGTTGCCATCCTCTCGTGGGGCCTGTGGTCCCCTCCTCCGCCTCTTGGCGGACTGGGCTGGCAGAAGAACCTCATCGGACGACCCTGAACCCGCTTGCTGCAGGAGTTCCACATCTGACTCGGGGGCAGAAGACATTGCTCGAGCCAAAAAATATCAACGGCATACTCACAATCCACACAATGCATCGTGGTAAATGAGGAACAAACCCCATTGCTGACCAGACGCCCCAATGGCGTACATTCTCTTGGACGACGACGTCCAAGAGAATGTACGCCTCCTCTTGGAGGGACTCGCACCCCTTCTTTCCAACCGTGGGAGCACGCCTACTCGCCACATTGCGTTGACGGGCGTGCCGAAATGGTGGCGCAAGGGGCCTTGGGGGGAAGTCGATGGACCTCGTTATTGGGGCCTGCGGCGGAACTCCCCACGGGGCAACGAATGACGTAAGTAGCGCGTCGAAACTAACGCGGTGGCTTACGTCGGGCAGCGCCATATGGGCGTTTCTATCATAATCTTCGGTGAACCTCCCCATGTGGCTGCATGCCATGTGATTGGTGCGCCGAAATGGACTGCGGCAGTGCGGACCGCCCTACTTGATCACCGCCGTTGTTGATCTTAACGTGGGTTGCAGAGTATGTGACCGATGTGATGTATGATAACGTGACGCATGTAAAGATGGACGTGGCGACGAACGTGCTGATGCGAACGTGCTTTTGCTTAGAACGCATTGGAGACGTACCTAGATATTCCCGAAGGCCCATGACTTCCTGAAATCTTGAAAAATGTTTAAGTTTTTCGTCCCAGGTCGGCCGTTTTTGAAAACCACTCCCTGAGCTAAAAACCTCGCTTGGGCCCTCACCAGAGCCTTAACACTCCTCCTCCTCCTCCTCCTCCTCCTCCTCCTCCTCCGGATGGTTTCGTTTGTTCCCTCTGCCCCCCGTCGGGCGTGTGGTAATGGGGGGGTGACGCACCTGGGGCACTTTAGGGCCCCTGCTGGCTCCCAAAGGGGGCCTCAGAGTGCTCCTCTGGGGCCTGTTTCTTCACCACCCATTTTGGGTCACCCCCCCATTGCCGCCCGCCCAGTGAACCCTCTCCCAGCGCCAGAGCGCCAGGGGCGGGCCCTTGGCGGTGCCTCCCGCGTCGACCCTGGCGCGCCCCGCGCGGCAGGAATGGGGGCCCAACGCCGATCCCAGACACTCGCGCGGACCTCCGAAGATAAAACATCATTAACTCACGTGGCTGGTTTTCCTGGCGCCTCCTGGCGCCGGGAGGCGCCCAGGTATCGAGGAATGGGCCCGACGGCGGGGCCGAAATCAGCCACATGCAGCGGATTTCGCAGACCCCGACGTCATGATTTTTTCATAACTGTCGAACCCCAGAGGTCTCGACCTGGGGGACCTCTTTTTATCCTGAGTCGTTTTTTAATGTTTTTCTTTCTTTTTACCCAAAAAAGAGAGCCCGTCCACGGGCAAATCCGCTTCCCCTCAAGGGGGCTATATCCGTGCGGCAAGGCACGAAGGCACCTAGTCGGGCGTGCGCCTTTATCCTGAATCGTTTTTTGATGCCCCCGAGGCCGGGAGAAGAACATCCCGTCCTGATCCTTTCATGACCCCAGGGGGCCTGAGTTCGAAGCCCCTCCCTTCCCTATTCTGATTACCCTTCCGTCTGGCCCGAATCTTCGCACCACCTACGGAACGCCGTCCCACGCCGGCGGACCGGCAATGTTTTGTTTGGGGGCGGGGGGCGTGCTCGGCTTCTCCCAACCGGCGGTATACGGAGCGGCGGCCGAGGCCCAGCGCAGCGTGGCTACCGATTGGGGGGGGCAGCGGGAGGCACGGCGGCGAGGAGGAGGAGGAGGAGGAGGAGGAGGAGGAGGAGGAGGAGGAGGAGAAGGAGAAGGAGAAGGAGGAGGAGGAGGAGGGGAAGGAGGAGGAGGAGGAGGAGGAAGACGAGGCCGAGGAGGAGGAGGATGAGGAAGATGAGGATGAGGAGGAGGAGGAGGAGGAGGAGGAGGAAGAGGAGGCCGAGAAGGACGAGGAGCAGGAGGAGAAGGAGGAGGACGAGGAGGAGAAGGAGGAGGACGAGGAGGATGTGGGTTTGGGCTCGGATTCAGTGCTGGGTTCGAATACTAGAACAGACTGGCGAGCGGCAGAAGCGCTCAGGAAAACAAAGAAGGCGACGACGATGACGAGTACACAAATCAGCGCTGGAAATGTGTATTTCCTAGGTCGCCGTCGTCGCACAACTAGTGGGCGGCAAAGGCTAAGAAAGCAACTGCAGGAGAAAGAGAGTGAGGGGGGGAGACAGTTGCTTTCGAAACCCGTTAAAACAAACTGCTCAAGGGGAGCAGTTCGTCCAGCACCTTTGCCTCTCCTTTGGAGGGGTCGGGGTGCTTTCTCTGGAACATCCTGTCCCAGTTTGACTTGTTATGATGGCTGGTGAACCTCTCATTGCAACGCTTTGTAAGCCCTACGGCGCGCCGGCCCTGGCAGATACATCCGCAGGAAGAGCAAACAAATATGAGGTGATCCTCATCGCAACTAGCAATATAGATTCGGTGATTGCGAGGATTGGCAGCGATCGCGCTGAAAACGGCATTGTATCCTGTACACGCTGTGGTCTGAGGCGGGTACTCTGCCCTGCATCTGGTGTAACAGACGCGGCATGACCACAAATTCTGCTTGATCCATTTCCAATTGTGGCTCTGGGCCTAACCTGCTACCTCAGGCTGAGGCGCCTGCGTGACGGAAGACGCAGGCCTTAGTACACCTTCTCTGGTGGTGGCTCCTGCCGGCACCAAGGGAAGAGGTGGAGGGCGGAGGGGAGGAGGAGGGACTGGGGGGAACGGGGCACAGGAGGAAGAGGAAGAGGCTCCACCTGTCCTGCTGGCAACCCCTGGCACGTGGCCAGCACTAATTTGGCGAAGGCTGGCCAAGATCTCATCGGCATAGCTGTAAAGAAAACTGCTCTCCTTGGCGCCGGCACGAAGGCGGCACCTGCCGCCTTTGCCTTGCTTGCTCTGCGGACGAGGGAAAACCTCTAGGGCACAAGCCACGTACTGAAGGTACGTCCTGAGAGTATTCGTCCTGCGGTCCTGGAGCTCCACTTCCGATGACAAGGGTTGGTAGTGATCATTGGCACCGAGCTTGGCCGCTGTATCGGCCGCCTGGTTGCCTAATGCATTCCATCTTCCTAGCGAGCCTTCTGGATAGCTATCTGGGTCCTCATGGGCCCGTACTTTGATACAGGTCACCCCCGAAGGTGATAAGCCTACAATCCGGAGCTTAAGACCTGCATAGAAGGATTTCCTGTATAGAAGGCTTGCCGTCGAATGGCTATGAATGCCGACTACTCCTTTATAGTCCGCCCGAACTTCCGTCACCAGCGGGCCATGGGTGACCGCTGCTAGGACCGCTACGTGTTCAGCCGCAGGGCTCGTTTGAGGTAAAATATTCCCGACAAGACCGCGCATGGAGGACGAGGAGGAGGAGGATGACGAGGAGGAGGTGAGGAGGAGGAGGAGGAGGAGGAGGAAGAGCAGGAGGAGGAAGAGCAGGAGGAAGAGCAGGAGGAGGAGGAGGAAGAGGGGAGGAGGAGAGGAGGAGGAGGAGGAGGAGCAGCAGGACAAGGAGGGGGGAGGGAGCAAGAGGAGGAACCCCCTCGGAGGTCTTGTGCTGGCCGTTCCTTGGCCCTGCCTGGGGCCCGACTGGCCGACGGCGCGGGCCTGAGCTTGTTGGCCCAGCAGTTGTAGTGCGTGGCCACCGTGCCGGGGCGCGAGCACTGTCCGACGGCCTGCGGGGTCGTGAACGTCGCTTGTCGTAAACGGTAATCAGCATGTTTTGCCCTCCTTCTCCTCTTCTTTCTCCTCTTCCTCCTCGCTCTCCTCCTTCCTCTCCTCCTTCTTTTCCTCCTCGCCCTCCTCGTTCCTCTCCTCCTCCTCCTCCTCCTCCTCCTCCTCCTCCTCCTCCTCCTCCTCCTCCTCCCCCTCCCCCCCCCTCCCCCTCCCCTCCCCTCCCCCTCCCCCTCCTCCTCCTCCCCTCCTCCTCCTCCTCCTCCTCCTCCTCCTCCTCTCCTCCTCCTCCCTCCTCCTCCTTCTCCTCCTCCTCCTCCTCCTCCTCCTCCTCCTCCTCCTCCTCCTCCTCCTCCTCCTCCTCCTCCGCCTCCGCCTCCGCCTCCGCCTCCGCCTCCGCTCCGCCCGCCTCCGCCTCCGCCTCCGCCTCCTCCTCTCCTCCTCCTCCTCCTCCTCCTCCTCCTCCTCCTCCTCCTCGTCCTCGTCCTCCTCCTCCTCCTCCTCCTCCTCGTCCTCCTCCTCCACCTCCTCCTCCTCCTCCTCCTCCTCCTCCTCCTCTCCTCATCGGCCTCGTCTTCCTCCTCCTCCTCCTTCTCCTCATCCCCCTTCTACATAACCCCCTGTCCTCCACTTTCCCCTCCTCCAGCGCGTCCCCTACTTCCTCCGCCTCCTTCTCCTTCTCTAACTTTCCTGGCGGGCCATGACACGCGTGCCTGCGGCTTCACCGTGGCTGCTCGGTCTTGGACGAGTATACCACCCGAGCTGCCCTCCGCCACCTGCCTCCCTCGGCCCCGCTCTGACGCGCCCTGGCTGCGCATCGCCATCCTGCTCCTGCTCCCGCACCCCTTGGCCAAGCGTAGGAGAAAACCAACCGCTATAAACATAATCTGTCGGAGGCCCGCGCGGATCTCTCGGGTCGGCTCTGGGCCCCTCTCCCCGGCGCGCGGAGCGCGCCACGGGTGGCGCCAGAGGCGCCGCCAAGGGGGTCCCAACGCCGATACAAAAAATCCGCGCGGAGCTCGGACAACTTGTGCTTGTGCCGCTGTTTGTTCTTCGAAGGCGTGCCGGGCCCCGATCCGTGCGGGGCGCGTGCCGCAGCGACGAGGGAGGGGCAACCGCCGCCCGTCTTGGAGAGCTGCGTAAGTAGACAAGCGCGCCACCAGTACTCGCAGAGTACCTGCTCGCAAACGGCCTGGGCCCGCCGCGCGTTTTTTTCTGATCCATTACACAAAGGAAGACATTTTTTCTCAGACATTTGCGAATAGGCCCTCTGCGAATGCAGTGCGGGCGCGGCCGCAAAGAGACCCTCGCGAGAAACCTGGCGCCGGAAACTCCGCGCGCGACATGCACGCAGCGCGGGGGGGGGGACCCAGAGCACACGGAACGCAGCCATTTTTCGTCAATGGCCGCGGGAAGTCACCGCGCAGCGCGCAGAGCGAAAAAGAAACCCAGGGTACCCTGACCAGAAAAAGAACACGCGGCACATACATAAACTTTTGACGCTCCGCGCGGATCTCTTGGATCTGCGCTGGACCCCCCTTCCTGGCGCGCGGAGCGCGCCAGGGGCGGCGCGGGAGGCGCCGCCAGGGGGCCCAGCGCGGATCCGAACTGTCCGCGCGAATCGCCTGAAGTTTATATTGATGTTAATGCCAGCCAGGGGCCCGCGCCACCAGCGCCAGCGCGCGACGCCTGCCGCCTCGGATCGCCGGCCGCCAGCCCCGGGGGGCGGATGGCGGGCGCGCGCCGCGGCCGGCGCAGGGGGCCCCGGGGAGGGTCAAGTCAAGTCAAGTCACCCCGCTCGCACGACCGCAGAGGCGAATCGAGTTTGGCAAGGAAGCTCGCGCTCACCATGCTCTCCTGCTTCCCGAGACTTCGCTTGGTGCAGCGCCATTGCGGAGTCCATCTCCAAAAAATAAGACACGCCCACAACCACCCCGGACGCCAAAAGACATCGCTCCGGAAAATTTGAAGGGGTCGGTGGATGAGGCGTAAGCCTAGAGAATCAAGTCACCCCGCTCGCACGAGGGCGTGCCCATGTAGGGCGCGAGGGAACATCATATGCCAGTCACTATTCATGCCTGGTGCGCAGAGGGAGGCAACGCGCCTGCTCACGCCGACGTGCAGAAGTCCAGCCCCAGGGAGGGTGCGCGGGCAAGTGCTGCCCGACCCGCCGCGTCGTGCGCGTCACGTGCAGTCACTCCGTATCGTAAGGATGCGCGGCAAGGATGCAGGGGCGTTGGAGGGCCATGTTCATTTTTTCTCTCTTCGAACGAGGTTGGCCAGCGAAAGGTACCAAGGATGGGCCGAATGGACAAGGCTGCAAGGGTTCCTCGTTTCAAGGCTGCCCATCCTTATTATGCAGATTGACTGTACAGTCGGACCCAGGACAGAAGAGCATCCCTCAAGAACACGAGACCCTCCACCGGCCCAAGCAGACAGAGCATCCCAGGGTTCCCGCCGCAGGATGCGCAAGAGCAAGAACATCCACAGGACACGAAGGGTACTAGAGGACCCTCCCCGAAACGACCTCGACCTTGTACCTCGGCTAGACCGTGCTGTCATTTCGTGTGCGACCCCGCGCATCCCCCATGTGTAGCAGTTCGGAACTGCGGTTCCCATCTCCCAATTCAGGGATGCGTCGGTGAACGCGGCGCTCTTCGGGGAGGTGCTGCGTCTTTCGTCCAATGCCTAAGGCCCCAAGAAATTCCGACGTGGGCTCATTTCAAACTTGGCGGCGACCGAGGGGGGGAAGTGCGGAAGGCGGCGGGGCTTCTCCTTTCCCTCCTTCGGTCGCCGCCGAGAAACGGCAGCGCCAGCGTTAGGTCGAGCATGTCTTTCTGCAGGCGAAACATTCGCCGGCCCAGCGGGCCAGATGCGTGCTAAGATCTCCGGTGACTGGTTAGCAATCTTTCTAGTTCGCGCGCGCGGGGCGGCCCCTGGGGGTCCCCCGGCGACAAGTACCCCGACCGCCGCCCGACCGCAGCCCGGCAACTGCTACTCAGAGATGGTGTTCCTCCTGGGTGTGGCTTCTCAGGCCCCCCAGAGCGCGCCAAGAGTGCCCCAAGAGGCCCCCAACACTGCCCAAGAGGCCCCCGAGACGCCCAAAGAGCGCTCCAAGACGCCGATGATGACCCCAAGACGGCCCAAGAGGCCTCTAAGAGGCCTCACAAGAGGGCCCCGAGAGGCCAAAATCATACATTTTACGATGGTTTGGAATGATTTTGGCCTTGTCGCCTTTTCGGCCAGTCGATGCTCCAAGACGGCCCAAGAAGCCCCAAGAGCGCCCCCAGACGGGCCAAGAGGCTTCCAAGAGGGCCCCAAGAGGGCCCAAGAGGGCCCCGAACCGAAAACTCGAGCCTTCTGGCCCCGAGAGGCTCCCAAGAGGCCCCAAGATGCCGCCAAGAGGCCCCCAAGAGGCCCCAGGAGGCCCCCAGAAGGCCCCAAGAGGCCCCAGAAGGCTTCAAACATCCCTCCCAGGCGCCCCCGAACGGCTTCTCAAAAGACCCCAAGAGGCCTCCCAAAGGAGCATCTTGACGACGACCCTGTTTGGCCCCAAGAGCAACTCAAGATGCCAACGAGAGGCTTCCTCCTGCGCCCCTTCCTCTTCATCCTCCTCCTCCTCCTACTTCTCTTCATCCTCCTCCTCCTCCTCCTATTTCTCTTCATCCTCCTCCTCTCCTCCTCCTCCTTTCCCCTTCCTCATCCTCATCTTCCTCCTCCTCGGCGGCGCCACAGTGGCCCCGGGCCCACGGCGAAGCAGAAGCAATCATGCAACATGGGCCGGCGGAGTGAGCGAAGCGATTGAATCCGCCCGCCCACCGGGCTGAGGGGCGTGTGAGATTTAACTACAGAGCTTTAGCCCCCCCTTTTTCCCCCCAGAGGCCTCCGCCATTCCGCCGCCCGGCTGCGGCAATGCCCTTTTTCGGTTTCCAAAACGGCTCCACGACGGCGTCCAAGACAAACTCGATCTTGGTATCGTTCTGAAGACGCTGCCAGACGCCTGTGGGCTCCATTTCGGCCCCGTCGGGGCCCTTTCTTGGCCTCCAAGATCCGCTCCCGGAGCCCTCGACAGCGCCTGTGGCTCATTCTCGCCGACACGTGGGGATGTCACAAACAAATAGCAAATACGATGGTTTTGGCCTGATTTCGGCTTCCCCGGGGTTGTCCAGGACGCAGCTTACAGTTGACTTCCGGGCTCGCGTGCGTCATTTTTCATCACTCCCTTTGTTCGCCGTTTTTGGGCGCGCTCCGGGGTCCATTTTGGACGCTGCGGGGCCCATGTTGGGCCGCAAAACGGGCCCCAAACCAGGTCAAACCCCGCCCGGTTTTTACTGCAAGACGGACGCGGTTGCGACCCAACGCGGAAGTACTGTCGCTTGAGCCGCCCTGGGCTTCTCCAAGACCGCCTCGGGGCCTTCTTAGCCTCTTTTTGGGCCCTTTTCGGGTTCCTCTTCGGCCCTTCTTGGCGCCTTGCCGGCCGGATCACCGCCAGGGCAACCGTCGGGGCAACCAACCGCTCGGGCAACCGCCGAGACTAGCAACGGGAAAAGAATCCGGGCAGCCGTCGGGACAAGCACCCAGGCATCTACCACGGCACGCCACGGGCCAGTCATCTGGTCAGCCATTGGAGAACCCACTCCAAGAGCCACCTTCCCTGCCATCGGATCAATCGACTGCGCAAGCGCGACAAAACCACGAGACTGCCACGCCACCGTATGACACAAGCCCACCACGGGAGCATGCCGCCTTCCCTGCCATCGGATCAGTCGACTGCACAAGCGCACCACAAGCAGCAGCAGCAGCAGCACTAACACCGGCACCATCAACACCATCGCCAGCAACAGCAGCAGCGGCACCCGCACTGCACCGTACCACCAGCAGGAGCGACAACAGCAACACCAGCAGCAACACCAGCCGCAGCACCACCACCACTAACAGTAGCAAGTACGACAAACCTACTGTCGAACAGCCACGGGGCATGCCTGAGCATAGTAGGCGATAGCATAGGAAGAGAGAACGCGGGACAAAAACAACAAAGCACACGACTTGTATGAATTCCTGCCTATGTTTATCCCGTCATGGAGCCGTCTTCGCCTCGTCCGGCGAGAACTGGAATGGGCGGGCGGTGAACGCGAAACGTCTTGAATAATAAATACCTTCAAAAATGCTCAAACATACCGGAATAATCGTTACCGTATTATTTCTTGACTATTTTTGATTATTCCTAGGCCCGACTTAAAACCAGCGGCCGCGGGCGCGGGGGTCGAGCCCAGCGGGGCGCGCGGAGGCGCGGGGCGCGCGGAGGCGCGGGGCGGGAAAGCAGGTAGCGGCCGCGGAGGGGGACGGGGGAGAGGCGGCCCGACCGCCGAGAGGGGGTCGCCGGTCGATGGGGGCGCGGAGGCGACCCTCGGGCACCGAGGACGGTGTGCAGCAAGCAGAGGAGCAGCAAATGGACCGTGCCGTCGGAGTACGGTGCGGAGGCGGCCGCAAGAAACCCTCGCAAGAAACACAGCCCTGAATGTTCGCGAACGAGGCGCAATTGGAGGGGAACCCAAGGCACTCTGAAGGCAGCCGCTCCTTCACGCCCGCGGGAAGTCACCGCGTAGCGAAGAAACAGAGGATACCCTGACGAACAACATCTGGTTTCTTGATGCGCGTCCCCACTGTATAGAAAGTTCAGCGAATCGCATTCGCATCCAACGCAAGCTCGGATCATGGCAGGCATCGGCGCACGACGGGGCCGGGAGGCCCTCGGAGACCCGTGCGGGCACGTCGTCGAGAGCTGCGGCTCGGCCTGCTGCTGTTCCGGGACTTGGGGAAACCGCGGGGCGGGTCTCGGGGTGCGCCGTCACCACGGGCGCTCATCATGGAGTCCCTCACCGTCATGGCCACCAACTTCATGTTCGCTATCACGACCGTGGTCATGATCAACATCATAACCATCACAATCGCAATCACCATCACCATCAACATCACCACCATCATCACCGTCGTCGTCGTCATCAACATCACCATCATCATCAATATCATAAGCAACATCATCATAACGGGAGGTACAGTCGTGGCCATGTTCAGCATCTTGATCATACTCACCATCATTCTGATCATCACTGCAGTCATCGCTATGCAGCTGGCAATGACTGCAATGGAACCCATGATGCGATCCCCGCTCCAAACGCCGAGTGCAGCTACCCCTAACGTCTCGCGCGCGTCTCGCCTCCGCTCTCTCTCTCTTTCTCTCTGTTGCGCTACCCACGTTTGAGAACCCACGTAGCTCGTCCCTCTTCACGCGCAATCTGATTCGTCCCTTTTCATTCGTCCCTCCTTCGAACTCTCCCTCCTCCACCTTTAGCCCCGCCCGCCAGCCGCATCAGATGTGGGCCCCACTGGGCTGCCCAGCGGCGCAACAATCCCTGACGCGATCTGGGAGTGGGCTAGTAGGAACCATTCTGCCGCAGCAGCAAGGAAAAACTTCCTGGAGAAAACCCGAACATTTTTTCGAGGTATGGCCAAAACCAACTCGAGGGTACTTAATTGAGAGCCGGGCGGTCGTATCACGTGTGGTCAGATCACCCACTGGGGGGCACGGGGCCCCATCTCTATGGATAGAGATCCCAGTAGACCATTTGTAGCGAGGCTTCGGCCATACCTGCGACTTCAAGGATGTGGCCTGAGGATGTGCCGAACCCTGAAGAACTGGGATTGGGAAATTCACCCTGCGCCTTGCGATTGGTGGCGAACCATCTGCAGCTGGACCGCCCTTTGTCTTTTCGCATCGTCGCCCGATCATTCGCATCGTCGCCCCGCGGTTCTCTTTCACCATATACCGTACTCGGCAATCCTCTTTTTCCTCCGCCCCTCTCCTTCATCTGTCTTTTTCCTTCCTCCTCCTTAAACCTCACTCCTTCCCCATGCCTCCCTAGTCCCTTCTCCTTCCTCCTCGTCAGTACCACTTCACACTTGCACTCGCCCTCATCGCTCATCCCTCGTGTCTTCTTCCAAGTCGCTCTTCTCTCGTCGTCCGTCTCCTCTTGTCCTTCCCGACCGGTCTCAAGTCGTTTCCAAGCCCAACGCCTCCTCGTACGTCACGGT